TCTCTGTGAAGACTGCAGAGCCTGTTAATATTTATGAAGTCTGAAGTAGCTTCAAAGACTCCTTACTTCATTTTCTTATGTCATAACAAAAAGCAGCACTAACTCATTAAATTTCAAGGTGAGTTCACCAAAAAACTGTTTTAGTAAATCCTGAGCTCTGAGGAAAAGGCCTAACTTCCTTGTTTTGTGTGTATGTTCCCCGTAGCAATGACAATGGCCAAAAGATGCAAAGAGAAAACCTGCATTTGTTAAGAAACTTGAAAGACCAAAACACATAAAACCACAAAGCACCCAACACTATGGCCGATCCACTACATTTGATGTCTGTATTTCTGTGCACAGATTAATTCATGGATTAACCTGCCAGGTTAAGGGCAGAGGGCAGAGAAAGAATCTGTTTTGAAAGACCCTGATTAAGCACTTACTGTCAAAAGCTTTCCCTCTCATCAAACTCTCTGTCATAAAAATAACCCATTAGAGAAAGTGATCTCTCCTCCCAGCACGGATGCTGCCATGCAGATATTATTTAGCTGAGAAAAATCTATGTAGGAAAGAAACAGAAACAGTGTACAGGATAAAGGCAGAAAATTGTGTACTTTATTTGGGCCTGACACAGTCAGGTTTGGACAAGAGAGCCTTCAATTTGAGATGACAGAATTCTCTGCACATAATACTGGAGTATTTTGGTAATAGCCAGCGCTTTGGAGACTTCAAAATTAGAGGGTATCACTGCTAAGCCTGATAAATACTGGGGGTAAGGAGAGGGAAGAAGAGACCGTGACCAGCCACTGAATAGCTACATAGCTTTAACCCAAAAAATTCAGTGAGGTACATGTAGCCCTTGACTCAAGCATTCCTGAACAGTATTTATTATCCAGACTTGTGAATAAAAACCAAAACAGGAAATGTGATCTATTACTCTTTAAATAAAAAAAATATTCCCAGTAAAACTGTTAATGGGACCATATGTTACACAAAACACAGACTCGTATCTTCAAGAATCCCTATGGATTTGGTGGAAATGCAGCCAAAATACAAAACATAACTTTTTCAGCAGGTAAAATAAGGAGAAACAGGGTCTTTGTTATTCTTCCAACAGATCTGTCATCGCTTTTGGGGTTAAAAAGTTAATGCTTCTCCCTAGATTTGAAGTCGCCTTTTTAAGGATTGAATGCTCCAGTATTAGAATTATGCCGAAGACTATGTAGTATCACATGTATCCACAATGTTTCATACCCCAGATATATACCCCACCTTCAACAGCAGCGCTAATCACTTCCCAGACACTGCGAAGGTTCCGTTATCAAAATAAAATAATCCAGCTGGGGTTTTTTTCCCAGGTTTCAAACGATACTGAATCTCTTTGGTATGCAATATTGCCTCAGTCATTCACTCTAATAATGAACTTCTGTTCCTATAAGCTTTGAATATCACACACCGGGAAGAGAAGGCATAAGACCAGGGAATAGCTTCTGCATCCGTTACCTGCTGTAAACCACCAGGAATTAGTTTCCAGCCAGGAAGACAGCAGGGCTGCCAGCCCTGATTTTGCCTCCTCAATTGTGAAATCCCTTCTACCAATCTCTCTGAAACTACGTCCCACAGAAAAGCAGAGCCAGGACAGGCTTTTCCCAGCTGCTGCCCTTAATTCCTCCCACCCCTATAGGCACTGACGTCAGGTCACCAGGCCACAGCAATGATGTTCACAAGGCATCAAGCAGGAGGTCAAAGCCTGACTGATGCCTTCACTCGGAGCAGAAGCCATACCATGCCAAGGAGTGGCACATACACATTCAAACAACAGCAGGCTACCCCACGCCGCTTGACAATCAACTCCTGACTAAGGACATGCTGAGCAGATCAAGTCTCAACAGGGCCACAGTTAAACGAGAAAAAAATAAACCAAACCCATCAGTCTGATACTTTAGCTCAGGTTAGTCCCACCTACTACTAGACAAAACCAGCTCCAAAGTGCTTACCTGAAGAGCAGGAAGCACGACATGGCTCATCTTCAGTTCAGTCTGGCATCTCAGCCCAAAACTGCCTTTATTAGGACAGAGGGATGAGCCAAAAATTCTTGTGGCCACCATAAGAAAAATAGTGAAACATAACTTGGGCTTTCATGGAACTTTGCACAATTTGGTGTCATAAGACCAATTTTATATTTTATCCATTTCAGAGCTAGTACCTTAAATGTTAGCTTCAGAAGAACACAGACTAGGACTGAAAAAAGTCCTCCCTTTCTGAATAACTAGATATGGTATTTGATAACTAAATATGACATTAAAAAAAATAAAAAGTTAAGCTTACATTTCTAATTTTGAGGAATGAAACTATTTATCACATGTTAAAAGCTAAGGCAGGACACTGTCAGAGCACAGGGACCTGGGAGCCCTACTTTATTAAATATTTCCTCTCCCCACCCACATCTCAACCGCCACTGGAAATGTGATACCCAAAAACTTGTCCATCATTCATTCCACATTCGCACAAGCTTAACAGTACCACATCTACTCAATCTGAAACGCTGCGGCAATGAAGCACAACACAAAAACATGACAAAAAGCTGTCATTTCCCATTCGCCCCATATGTGCTTCAAGCTCAGCAACAACCCACAGAAGCATGCAGGAGGTCCACAAAATAAATGCACACCTATTGACCTGACTGTCAAACAGCCATTTACCACGGCTCTGCCATCCTCTCAGTCTCCTTGAAAGTAAGCTCTCCAGCAGCATTTCTCTGGTCCTACTCCTCCAAGATTCCCGTGCTTCATTTGCTGCACATTAAGATGCATCCAGATACTGCATGCTCTGAGGGATAAATACATTGCTGGCTGCTATTTAACATGTGGCTAGCCCCTAACTCAGCTAGGCTCAGCTACCGCTCATGAAACAAACCCCACAACACAACCTGCGTTCCCAGCTCTTACTCCCAAATGGGATGACAAACAGGATGACACCCAGCGCCAACCCGGCCGGCAGCGGCAGGAGGTAAAGGAGGGGGCGACGCAGCTCGCACCTCTTCCCCCTCGCCAAGGGAGATCCCCGCACGCAGCCGTAGGAAACACCGCCGTGCCCAGAGCCAGCGGCGCGGCACCGCGGGGACAGGGACCAGCAGCCACCACACGGTCCCCAGAACAACAACTGGGGAGCCCACCTGGGACGGGCTGCGTGTGCACACAGGGATGTGGCCTTTACCGTGTTCTCTGCCGCCCCATGCGCTGTGTTTACTACAGCCGGTGGCTCCCCGCAGCCCAGGGCAGCTGCTCCGTGCCGGAGGGGCGCGGGGAGGAGAATAGGGCCGCTCCTCCGCCCGGGAAGCAGGGAGAGGGGCAGCCGGACACTCCCTGCGCCCACGGGGACAGTCTCCCGTCACCCGCAAAGGCCCGGAGAGCTGGGCCACCGGCCGAGACCTCCGGTGGCTCCCCCGCAGCGCCCCGGTCCGCCCCTTCCCCGCCGGACGCCGGTGAGCCGAACAAAAGGTATACAAAGGACCAACGGACAGCAACCCCCTCCCGAGGGACCCGGTCCGGGGGCGGCCAGAGGCAGCGCCCCGCAGCAGCCCTGCCCCGGAGCGAGGGGGCGCGTCCGCCCCCCAGCCCGCGGGGCAAGCAGGTCCCGCTGCCTGGCCCAGGGACCTGCGCCCGGCTGGTACAGAAAGGAGCCAACAAACAAACAAAAAATTACTATTATCGTTATTATTATTATAATTATTATTATTATTCCCTCGAGGTGGCCGGTGCGGCACTCACCCTGCTCGGAAATCGGAGCAAACTCTCATTCACGCTCCCCGCCGTGCCCAGGCCGCCGGAGCCAGGCGACGCCCCGAGAGCCGCCGGTCGCTGAGCCGGGCCGGGATAGGCAGATCGGAA